TTAGAATATTCCGTCAACTTTCATGAAATTGCGGCAAAATGTTTCTGTTTATGTAATTGGAAATATTGCTCAACATTTGTGAACACAGATATCTATTTCCGTTTGGCGATGTCTCACATATGAAAATTATGAAACAAATATTTCTGTGCTATAAATGTAAGACCAAAGGGTATAAAAGTGAAAATGGTGGTGGGTAGTTGTGGATTATTTATTTAGCTTTTGTATAAACAAATAATAGAAGAACGAGTGGTGTGATGTGAAGTGATGTTCCATCATGTAACCACCTGAAACAGGTATGCAAGTACAATCAACACAAACTAAGTCTTTTTGGGACTAACATTATGGTAAAATTTTATGGCAATAATTTGTTTGTATGTAATAGGTGTCTCTTTAGCGAGAGAGAGAGAGAGAAACAGATTTAATTTTCAGACTAACATACGCTTAGGGGTGTTTAGCAGTAGGAGAGAACAGGAGAACCCAGATAAAGTCTGCAATGTTAAGTAGCCAAATATATTCTTTCGCATGTATACAAGCGATCAGAACACACCACTAGACTCAATGACATACCTTATGATCTAAAGCTCATGGGTTAACCCACTCGGCCAATACCCCCACACACACACACACACACCTTTTTATTCGTATAGGTATGTTAGTACAGTAAAGGTACTGTATAAATTATAAATATGGCGTAGTGTTGTGAATGGATTGGGAACACTCAGACCTATTAAAGACTTTTAAAAATGTATGCTTGATATTAATATTAACATTGACTAATGGATTAAGGGCTTTGGACACTGACAGGTTTGCAACCAAAAAACCAGGGCAGATATGTATCATCAATCCTCTGACTAATTAAGCTCAGCCCCAGCCCTCAATGGGCAATATGAAAGGTCTATAACTATGAACACTGTGATTTTAATGTGATGAAAACTCATATTAATAAATGTTTAATTGAATATTCACAACCCACTAAATCATGCATTTTTAAATATTTCTGTTTATCCAGGACCACAGGCCTACCGAAAATTGTGCCTTTTTAAAATTATTTCTATTATTCAGGACATGGGCCTACTCCAAATTGTGCATTTTTATTTGTTCCTATCAAGCACAAGCTAAAAAAGCTTACTGCGTCACAATCCTTGTTGGGCCTCATATTTCCTGGTATCCTGGTGGGCCAGTCGCCTCTGTTCGTCTAGTAAAATTCTTGTGTGGAGTCAGAATTCTCTTTACTTTTAATAAAAGAGCAAGAATTGGGGTTTATCAAAGTTGTGAATCAATTAACAGTGATAACCAACACCCTGAACGACATTTAAACACATTGAAACCCAGTTTTTCAATGAATTAAATTACAAAAAAAACAAGAAATGGAAATTAGAAGACTTTCTTTTTTTTCACTGACTTCACGACACAAGCTTTCTGTTTGGATATTTTCTGAGGCATTTCTTTCAGTTGTTCATCATCTTTTTATTAAGTAAGTGTATAATGTCTAAATCAACAGACTTATAAAAAACAATAACAAGCAGATTTGATAACAAGCATGCCTGAAATTCTTACTGCTATCAAAAAAACAGACCTTGACATACATGTCAAGAAAACTGAAGACACAGTTAATGATTGAATGAAATGAAATGGGGTATTGTTCTACTTTACTTCTCCAATGTGCAAAGGGAAATGGGCATAGGCCAAGCAGTGTGTTACGAAGGAAGGAAACTTTGTCCACTATTATTTCAATTTCCAACTGTCTATAGGGATCTTTAACATACGGCCAATGGTATACACACGACCATGTTTTTTTTTGTTTCATCTGACAGGATTCTATGACTTAATCAAAGGCAAAGACTTTATTGTTGAATTTCATAAGAATATGTTGTTTCACAAGATTCTACAATGTTACCAAGGGCAATAACTCTGTAAATTATTATCGGAAATTGCTGAATTTCAATAGACTTCTTCATCTCTCTAATGTACAAAACATATAATCATTTTAAAACGTTTAGGCCTATAGGTAGACCCCTATAATGTAATTTCTAAATAAAATCATAATTTTTAGTCAAGGAAATCAAGTATTTTATTTGGTATAGGATAAATTTAATTCATGTTTTCTTGCCATACCACCAGGCACTATTATTGATGAGCCTGATACTGTGGATCCTACCATATTCATACCTCCCACAGTTTATTTCGGTCCATGTTTCTGTATGCAAAGTTTCAAGGTCAAATATGTTTATACTGAACACAAGATCTGAACGTGTTTGTGATTCTAACTGACTGTATATACTTACATAACAAAAAACATCACTTCCAGCTCTGCTGTGTAATATTTTCTTGGAATGAACTGGAAATGTATTCTGAGAGTGACCTCTAAACTTAGAATTTTGGCGGGAAGTGGGGGAAATTCACTCTTCCTGGGTTTTACTGTTCTGTTTCGAAACTTTCGACTTCTAGTGTACTGCTAAGCCTACTAATAGCATTCCATTAATTGAAAATTTGGCTACATCCAAGTGACAATGTTTGTAAGATTTTCCAACAACCTCCTTGAATAGTGTGTCTGGAGTTTCTATTATAAACGAAAGTCCTGTCATCAGAACCACGCCGAGTGCTTAATATAAGGGAGATAACTCTGTTTAATACAGCGTCTTGAGAATTGTATTTTCAAGAAAAAAGGACGAAATACAGGATATTTTCTTTTGTGATTTGTACCAACTTATTTTCTTGGGGTGGGGGGGGGGTGCTGGTAAGGTCTATTAGCTTTTCGTAACGTTTGATAGTCTAATAATAATAATAATGACTTTATAGCGCCGCTCATCTAGAACTGTTCCACCAGATGATGCTGAGCCACACTGTCAATCTGTTTCACAGAGAATTACGGGTCTACTAAAATCTCTGTAAAACCATGACTGCCTTTAACACGTGCCGTCACAGCACGCGGCGTCAGTCATTGGCGGAATGGCGCGGGCATTGTTTACATAAGACGTTACTGCTTCGGGCAGGCAGGGCAGAATGCTGCCTTTTAGTTATTATAATACCCATTTACACTAAATAGGAAATAATTTTTACCTACAAATATGTCAAAGGTCTTTTTTTATTTTTTCTAATACATCAGAAAAATGTTTTAGAATTTAATTTGTCGGTGGAAAAAAGTTAATATTTGAGACTCATTAAGTCGCATTGATGTCATCCTTATCAGTGTAGCGGCCTAGCGAATATTCACTGCTGATCAGTGTGCCATACTGTCCCATTCGGTATTCAAAATTAAATATGCGAGTCTTCATGATGATTTAAACGACCGGCTTCCTTTAAAAACTCGGCAGTTCGTTCCATGGGAAGGGTGCTGCAACAGAAAAAGCCATATCACACAAAACACTTTCAAACTTTTGGGAACGAGTTGTTATTTCACCACTTTTGATCTGTAGAAAGGTCACTCAGGTAGTCAGTAGCTAAACATAACTGTAAGTGAGGCTGGTAATTTTACGTTAAATACATCTTTTTGGGCAGCCAGCGAAGGGATTTGAGCACAGGTGTAATGTGGTCGTGGAGTTTTATTCTGGTGATTAGACGTGAAGCAGTGTTTTGTATCTTTTGTAATGAACGAAGAGAAGAAGCTGGAAGTATGTAAAGTAAGGAATTACAATCAAGATGTTATTAAAGAATTCACTAGCAGTTTCATTGAACCTGCATCCAAGTATTTCTGTACACGACCAATGTTGAACAGCTGAGAGTATGCTTTCGATACTGCTCTAACTCGTTTGGACATATCCATCGTGGTGTTCTAGCCTATAACAACCAGATTTCAAGCAGATCGAACAGGGTTAATGTGACCACTTCCAACATGAATGGGATGTCTATCAAATGATGGAAGGCATCATTTTGAGGAATGGTCATATATTAAGTATATACCCTAATGCTCTCAATGCAACATTCTAATTGCCGATTTTTGTCTGGAATAAATTCTGGTGAAATGATTTAATGAAAATGACCAGTAATTGGTTTAAATCCTTCCATGTCTTACCTATTACCCTTCGAAAATTACAAACACTATTTTATTAAGTTCTCTTTGCCCATGTGGGTGAGAGAAAAAACATAGTTCATGCAAGTATGGATTAAACAGGAATTTATTTAGCTGACTTGCAGAATTGGTGCAACCCTCTATCATACCCCATAAGACAAATGTCAGTCTACCACATGATTGTCGATACATAAGTCAATTGTTGGCTTGAGACTTGAGGGGGTTTACATCCTACTAAAATATGTCCTCTGATATGATCCTTTGTAGTTATAGAAGATAGGTACTATTTAGGGCACAGGTACTATTTAGGGATTGGACAGCCTCCTGATCAAATAAGTTGGCAGGGGGTTTGTTTTGCCAAAGACAACTTGAATTCTGCCAATATAACAAGAACAATGCTAGGGAAATAAACCAGGGTTAACGTCCTACTTTTCTGCACCAAGTGGGGTTAATTTAATAGTGCTAGGAACTTTCTGGGCCAACAAGTTTATAGTTATGGACAAGAAGTAAAATGGTTAAGCAGTTTTTAGTAATGGTTCCACTGGTTTGAAGGTAAAACACAAATCTTATACACAATGTCATTTATTACTTTCGACAACAGAGATTATAACACAATTTAAGCAATTAAATAGGACAGCACAGGAAATAAAGAGGTTTGTCCACACTTATAACAAATCACACTTAAAATACACCATGTAGAAAGTATAGAATAAAAGATGTTAAGAACCACAAAAGAGAAATAAAAAGATGTACATGTACAATACACTACATAAAAATTACATCTTGGTGACTTTCTTGGTTTATCTGTTGCCATGGATACAGTACAATTAAAATGTAACATCATCCTAATGATAACCGGACTTTAACAATCATGAGATGGCTGTGGTGGGACTATTTCGTAGAAATGCACGAGCATGATAGCATAATCTGTATTTTAATTTATAGAACACCCCCTCGCAGCATATATATATATATATATATACTTTTGATCATTAAATCATTTAGATGGATTTGATTTTTTTTTTTTCAATTCAATTCAAAAACAGGTTTGTCCCGCATTCAAAAACATTATTTTTAAGCTGGTTGGGATTGTTGTTTTTTTTATGTTCTCATGTTTGGTTTGTCCTGCATTCAAAAAACCAAGAAAGTCAACTTGTTAAGTTGATTCTCATTCTAATAAATTCATTACAATATAGACAGCTTTATCATAAATATCAGTTCCCAATTCTAATATACATCTCCTTTAACACAGGACTAAAACTACCAATAAATAAAAATAACAGTAATAATCGAGGAGAGATGACCGACCATCATGTCAGATGTCCGAATAAAAATATTACCATTTCAATACTGTTGTAGTCTTTAAAAATGCACATTAAAACTGATTTTCCAGCTGTTTCTACAATAATGAATTAATACTCTCATTCTCTCATTTAAATATCTATATACAATCATTCATTCATTCATTCTTCTCATTCATTACATATGCATACTATACATTCATTCAATAATAGCACTCTTGCAAAGATAGAAAGAAGAAAATAAGGATAGTGGGAGAATAGACAGAGGTATAAAAGACTTTCATATTATAATATATATTATTCCCGTGCATTATTTAATACAGTTGCAGTTGCTATGTATATATTATTTGTAATTATATATCTATACTCATTTATACAACTAAAACAACAATATAAAACTAATTTCAATTGGTCAATGAGCACTTGGGTTAGCAGACCCGACCAATCACTGATGTCAAAACAATAACATAAGAAATAAAGAGGGAAAGGGAGACTAAAAGCGAAAGTAAAAGAAGATATGGGTTCATAAATTATGCAAGTTGTTTATGCATTAACTAATATAGTTCAACATATTGGGATATTGAACCCAACATAAGTATCCCATTAGCACAAGGTGAGACAACACCCTCTACAACTTCTGTTCTTAGAATTTCAGTGGACGTAAAGCACTTCTTGATTTGTCACCATTCCATGATTTAGATTTTGCACGGAATTTCTTTAAATCATCTAAGTGGTCTTTATGGCTCATCTGTTTGTAGGTCTGGGGTTCACAATACTCCTAAAATACACAAATAAAATATGTTTTATTAGTATCTTTAAAATTTGAATTGAGGCTATATTGAGGCTGAATTGATGGAGGCTTTTTTAGGAGAGCATTGCCCCCAAGAAAAATAACAAGATGAGGTGCTGTTCCTGGTCCGAAATTCCATCAAGAACTATGCATGTTCCTTATGACCCCATGAACAATTCTTGCAAGTGGAGAATTTACTATATCGATTAGTTATCTTATTAAAAATATAGATATTATGTAATACATACCTTGCTGTATTCAAAGAAGACCTTATAACCACCATCTAGTAAATATAATTCTGGATAATGGAGATTAGGATAATCCTCTTTGTTACAATCACGATCTTTGTTCCTCAAAAACCTCAATCTAAAAAATAAAATTATCAAAACATCACTAAATACATTCTATTACTTCCCCAGAGAAATATGATAAACAATGTTGCAGAAAATATGGAGACAACTGGGTACAATCAGGATCTGAATCCATCTTGAAATAAACAGACCAGAAGAGGTTGTTGTCAACAAATAGTGTAAAAATGTTTCCATTCCGCAATGAAATAGGGCTGAGACATAAATGTGGTATGTCATGCCTTTCAGTAATTTGTTTTGCAATTAATTAAACCATTAAGTTATCCAATCCAAAAATATGTCTTATGAATTACGATAATAATAGTACTTACAAGTTAGGACCTCGCTCAGATGAAAATTCACAGTGAAATATAACAATATGACGTTTATTGGCATTTTCTGATCTTTTAGGACATTTCAAGAATTCACTCAGAATAACATCTTTTGTGTAGATATTTTCTCCTCCCTAAAAAAAAAGGATAATACATTCAATTTAAAATAAAAGAATATTTCATTATTTCATGTTTGTACTAAATCTACTGGAAATCTTTCAGAATTGCAGTTATTCTGTTTATTTAGAATTAAGAAATAATGTGAATTGTACATACCTTAATGTGTCCTCCATCGTATTCGTAGGGGTATCTACAATCTATGATTCTATAACTTTCAATATCATCAAATTCATTATTAATTACACGACACACCTAAAATTAAAAAAAAAAATCACATTATTATAATGTATAGAATCTTTTTTAAAAACTTTATTACATGTTGTCTGGTCATTAGGTCACAAACTTTCTGTGGGACTGGGTGAAGAGCAACATTCTATAATTAGAATAGAACAGCAATGACTGCAGTAAGCTGGTGACCTAATTAATATTATCCAATTGTGAACTAGTTATATTGGGTTCTAATATTAAAATAGCCAATAATAGAAAAGGGGGAAGCAATGTTGAATTCATAATACAGAAATTTTTCTAATTTTACATATTTCAAAATATTGATGTCATTTTATGGGATATACAATAATATACATATTAGATAGATATGTGAATAAAATACTTACAGTTTCTGGTGTTATTCTCTTGAGATCTTGGTGCTTACCAGAAGTAAAGATTGGGAGTGAATAAGGCTGAAATAAATGAAAACAATGTGTTAAGTAATTCAACAGAGAAAATCATTTCTTTTTAATATTTATTGAAATTATGTCATTAGTGGGATTGAGGAATCACTTGTAAACTACAATACGTCCAAAAATGGTACTATTCTGTTCTGTATTTACAAATGAATTATCGTCCAAGCCAGGCCTTGATATTTTGATTTCTTAATTAAATATTAAGTGATCAGTATAGTGTGGATATATTTTAGGTTCATAGCAACAATAAAATAAAACCTACCTTTGAGCAATCACCAATCAGATCAACATCATTGGACATTCTATTTACAGCTGATTTAATAACTTCTTCAGTAGCAGATTGACAGCGGTGAAATCTACGTGCAACTGCCATCTATAAATATAAAATAGTGAATTGATTAGTTCACTGCACATATAGCAATAGATAAATATTAGAATGAGTAGCCATATTGACTTATCAATTTACAAAAAACCTTATCTACAAACTTTCTCAAATACTAACTCAAATTCTTAAATTTGTTGTCAATAAAAACAATGTAATAAACAATGGGCATTATTGTATTGTAGCTTAAACTGTGAGAATTTCTAAATGAATATGCAGCAAACATTTAGTATAATAAAAGGATGATTTTTCTGACTGACAAAGACTGACATACTCATGGATTCATTTTTATTTTGAACAAGTTTGTCTAGTGTAGAACAACCACTTGGTTTCAAGCAAGCTTTGTCGAGTTCCAGTCATGAACAAACAAAATGTCCGCAAGATGAGAAGAGAAGATTAAAACCTGTGTGTGTAAAAAATCTATAACATACCTTATTTTCAAACATAGGTGAAGGTGAGGGTAATGAGGTCTGTTCGATAAGATCAGCAAAACGATGTCGTTTATTTTGGGTGGGTGTACTGTCATCTTCTCTGGGTGATCGTTTTGTACGAGAACGAACATCAAATGATTGTGAACGGTATAATAAACTACGACTTGCCTTTCTTCTCAACTGTAACAAAAGGGAATAATTATATTCCAGGAAATATGTTTACAATGTAATGTTGATTCAACATTCTAAAGATCAGGTTGTCAGGCAATAAAAGAATGGTCCAAGCAGGTTATTAGAGCATTGACACTAAAATGGTCCTACTGTTTAAGCTGCTCCAACTGGGCTAATGAAGACAAGCATACGCCATACAGTGTGCTATGAGGGAAATTTTGCCCGGGCAGTGGCACTATGGCCTACCTTATATCGACTTCTAACTGCCAAGGATCTTTTACGTGCACAGAAATGTATACCCGGGCCTTCAGTATTTCATCCCATCTGAACAACTGTCCTTGCCATCCCCCCGTTCTGCACCACGCCAGAAAACCCCGATGAAATTTCTCTGTCAATGCAGGGATCAGACACACAACCTCCAGACTAGTGAGCCAGCGTGGCTCTCAGCTTAATATAGACAAAACATGTACAGCATCAGAAAATAATCTTGGCTTTTTATCGGTAACTGTTCAACACTGAACAGATATAATTTTTGCAATTGTGGATGGACGGACATTTCAATGTGGGTGTTTAAAATGTAATAAACAGAAAGTATTCTGATGCAAAATTATTTAAAAACTTACGATAGGAGTGCCATCATCTTCAGGAATTCTTTTATTTATAACTGGAGCATTGAAGAGACTTGCCATGGTACTCGATACACTATCGCCCTGTCAAAAGAATTTAAAATTTGACATTAGAAGAATTTATTTTGTCTTTTGGAATCTGTTTAATGTAAACATTGATTCTCATTTAAAACAATTTTTGTAATCTTTATATTCAAATAATTTACCTTCAAAGAATCTGTATCAAAGACATCTAGAAATCCGTCATCTACATCATCTTCCATGCTGGTTAATGGTGATGACTTGAGACGAATTGGGCTGCCAAATGACAACTGTGTTTTCTCTTCTGGTGATTCCTGTAAAAATATTCAGATTAATTAAAAAAATCTAATGTAAAAATCAAATTTTTAAAGATATAAGCAATACAAACAGGTCGCTATGGGAGGGGGTAGTTGAACAGTGAGGTCAAATCCACGATTTTTCAATCTTTCATGCAAAACGTCACAGGGCGGACAAGTAAAGTGAAGTGTTGCTCAGAGGACAGCACGACACGTAAAAGAACCATTGTTCAGGCAAAATTCTCCTTAGCATTGAACATGTGGAAATACAGTTAGCCATATTGAAAAAAAAATAAAAAAATACATCCAATACTTACCCTAGCAAAAGAGACGGAGAAAGATCGTTTTTTTGATGGTGATTTAACAGGTGAATATTTATGAGGTGAGCAGGTATCTTCATTTATAATCTTCATTTTACGTTTAGGTAATGCTGACGGTGCTTTAAACATAAAGTCCTCATCCTAGGAATAAATAGCAGATATTAAATTAAGTAAACACCCTTTAATAATCTTTGGAAAAAACATCTTGCTTATCTTAACAGGTCAGATATTGACAGACTAGAAATATTGGGAAGTGAAAGCTCTAAGTCGAGTAACAAATCCAAAACCCTCATTCTCTTACCTTCTCTCTATCCAGACCCAAACCACTGTCTTGTGAGCAGGTGTCATCAAGATCAAATGGTGGTCGTTCAATTGGACTAATGTCAGCATCTCGAGATGAATCTTTTTCAAGGAAATCTGTAGGGCTGTCTAAACTTAGAGATGGTAACTGAAATATAAAGAACAAATGTATTAAATACAAAATACAATTAAAAATGCCATAATTAGAAATAGTACTAAAAAAATTATTTGTCTGAAGGAACATGATTAGACTGATGGTAACTAAATGAAATGAAAACCAATTCCATTTATTAACTTAGTTTGGAAACACCAAGATCCTATCACTTACTCTAGCAGATAAATCAATAACATTTGCAAGAAACATGTTGACTCCTCAGCTGATGAAGAAATAATGACATGAAAACAGATTCCCACTTATTAATAGCAAAGCCAAGTGGATAAATACCAATGGCCTATCAGCATATAGGTATGTAATAAACAAATTTGCCTAGAAGCAATGTCAAATCTAGCAGATAAAACAATTCATAATTAGATCATCTAGAGATATCTACTGACATTTATTATATTCTAAACATAGTTTTTCACTGGTAATTAAATTAAACCCCAAGACAATGGAGGGTGATAATAAATAGAGTAATCTATAACCATAAACTTTTATGATCCATAGATTGATAAACATCAATTATTACACTTTCTGATTGGATCACAATTCATGTTATTTCAATATTTAACATGTACTCATGACAGTTTTATGAAGAGTAAAATCAGTTTGTGAATAATGGTTATATATGGTTTTCTAGTCAATTAATGTAATTATTTATTCACTTACCGGTAAAGAGTTAATCCGTCTGAAGGCTATCGTCTTTTTTCTGAAAGAAAATGAAAAATAAAATTAATTTACAACCAAAATCAATGTATTTTCCTTTGCTTTCCTTTGAACTGAATCAGATTATAGACATTTGAAAAGAATAACTTTTATTAAAATGTCATCTCGAAATTATATTATTTTCAAATATTTAAATGAATCTGTGAGAAAGAATTTGTAGATTTACTATGTACAGTATATGAAAACTATTTAAATTAGAAATATCGATAAATCAACAAAAATGATATAAAGTTGGCTATCTCATCTGTGAAATTATATTAAATTTAATCAATGAAGTTTCCAGGTTTACTATACAGAGTAATGACAACATGAATTTCCTTAATCAGAATATGAAGTTGAGTGCCTCCTCTGTTAAATTATATTAAAATCAATCAACTGAAGTTTGCAGGTAGATCAGAGTATATGAAAGAAAATCACTACAAAAATGGATTGTGAACGAATAATGTTTATTACTAGACTAGGGTCACAGAAGACAATCACACATAAATTACAATAAATAATATCACATAATAAAACGTAAGAAGTGGTAAATATCTTGCTGCATTGAAAAGGTGACATCTATTTAACGACGGGTGAACACAGAACTTACTTCTCATTGAAACATTCAGCTGGAATGTCACGGTAAATGAAGGATGTTGCTAAAAAGCGTTGATAACTGCAACACAACACCATAATGTTACACTTTATATTATAATATTCCTGTATTAAACTGTCTAGATGTTCACTATCCAAGTATCGAACAGATATATCCAACATTACTCCCTAACCCACAATATATACACATCCACCAAAGTTTATTTAGCATGGAAGAAAATCCTAGCCTCTAGCTGAGGGTCAAGAGAGTCCCAGATAGAGTAAACAACAAGGTGTTAAGTGAAGGGCCATTCAGAACAATGGTAATTAAATTTAGACAATACATAACTTCTCAATGGGAGTCTGGCAAACTTATAGCTGATGCAGAAAATCAGCCAACCAAAAGATCCCCAGAAAACTTTGAGCCAATCAGATACTACTATCTTGTGTCTCTAACCAATGAAAGGGATGGCTGTGTAGTGGACATAAGGTGTATTGTGTCTATTCAACCCTGTTAAAATGTTTGAAGAAAGCCCCTTGCCTCTAATCATTTTTACACTATAAACAATCTGTTATTTGTAGGAGAGATATTAGAATACACAATCCACACACAAAATCCTCTTTACAACATTATCACTACTGGAACTCTTTGAAGAAAAGCTCCTTTAATTTTTGTATGGGTATTAAGGAGTTTAGCACAAAAAACAAAGAGAAGTTTATTCTAGGGGTTCTAAATACCTCCCAAATGCATAGCACACTTTGAAAACTTTATTTTTTCCAACACCTTTTAATCTTTCTTGTGTTAAACCCTTTTCCCATGTTGGTGCAAAGAGACGCGATCAAGTCTAGAAAATCGTCTGCCAGCCAGACTGAAAATGCAAACTTTCTCAAATATCAGTCTTTGATCATGAAAAATATTTTTAAATAACAAGCGAAACAAAGTACTTTTAAAATAATGTAATGGAAAAAATCAATAAAATCTATTTTCTTAAATTTACATAAAATATTACAAAATGTTTCTTTCCTAATCCTATTTTATAAAGGTAAAACTGTAAGTCTGGAATTATGATATCAGTCACAGAATGTCAGGCACAATTTATCATTGTGCACAATTTATCATTGTGCACAATTTCTCTTTTCCTTTCATTTGGTCAGGTAAAGATCTGTCTATTTCTGTGGGTTTAATTATTTGATATTTATGTGGTTTTGATATTTCTTTGTTGATATTTTTGATATTTCTGTGTCTAAGTTAGCTAACAGAATGTTAAAAATCTCTGATACTACAAGTTCAGTAGTGTTAAACATTATTTCCAGCCATGAGGAGTAAACTTCTCAGACGACTAATTTGATTTCTGGTCCTGAACTGGTTGATTGCAATTACAGTTAAAGCATGCAAATCACATTTTAATAGGTTTAAAAAGTGTTGACACTGATAAATCTGGTTGTAATTTCACCAGTTTACTAACCAGATTGTTTTATTAGCAGTAATTGTTGGGAGAGGTTTAATAACACAGTATCAGCCACATACCAGTAACCTCAACACCAATTATACTTGGCTTCTCTTGAAATATGCTTGAGTAGTAATTTTGATCTGTCAATATTTTCAGAAATTTTTGTACTGGTTGCTGGAATGGCATTCAGAAATTGTAAATACACAGGGACACTATACAATTGTTTTTTTCCTCTCTCTCGAAATTCTGTACTGTTTTAAGGCTATTTAATTTAGTGTAATGGAATTGGAAATACATAGGACACAATTATATGGAATTTTGACTAGCCCTCAATGGTAAAATATATGATTGGACATACTATACAGGTAAAATACTAGAGAAGCCTAGCTGAAATGTCACTGGAAAAAGGTTATAAATAATAATTGTCCTGCATATTCAATGGAAAAAGGTTATAGATCCTTATATCCAAATATTAGGGATCAATTGAATCCTATTAAATAAACAGTTTGGTCTACTATTTTCAATTTTAATGTTCACAGACTTTTTACAACCTTTGACAACTATGAACTAAAATAATATTTAGTAATAAAGTATAATCAAGATTCAATGATTAATTAAGAGCTCATCAATCAGACTGGTTCATCTGGGTATACATTGATAATATCAAATATCTAATTTGCTTTTCTAGGATACCACTTCATCAGGGAAGCAGGCATTAAATAAGGTTATCTCACACAATTTAATTGGTATCTTTCAATCTTATTAATTTACAGGGCAAAATCTGGAAATCTTAAGAAAATTATAAAACAAGCAGGTTGTAGCCATGCCTGGGATTAATGATTTTAGTTGCACCTGGCAAAATGTCAGGCACTACTGAAATGTTTGTCAGAAATTTATTAATAATATCAATAAATGTCTGTACTGGACAAAGCTGGGGGAGCATTATTTTAGACCATAAAAATAATGACATGCAAGCAATTAATTTATATAAAGAACTCTGCTTAGAGTTTATATTATGTAATTGTTCATGCCTCTAAAAATTTCAGGACTTCGGGTGCATGTTTTATTATGCCATTTCATTGTGGATAATATGCAATCAAGCAAGCTGTAATAAAAAGTTTTAGCCATTGTGAAGACTTTAGTATAATTTGTTAGATAAAGATTAGAGAAATGAAATGAAATGGGGTTTAACATCCTACTGTTTTGCTCCGTAAAGATTAGAGAATAAACAGTTGTATTCCATAGAACTGTGTCTTTTGTATAGCGCCAAGGAGTCAACCTGTGAAATTTAGTCTTTGATTAAATTGAATCCCCAAAAAATTCCATTTTGTGCTACAATATACATTAACAGATTTAAGCAGTAATCTTTTTTCTGACAATTATCATTTTAATGTGGAATCAAAAAGCTACCAGGAAAGCATACACCAATTGTGTGTATTGGGCTTTTGATGCATAAGAAATATTTTTAGTTTGTTTATATCTTTTTTTTCCATGTAGATTTTAAAAATTTTACAGACTCTTTTTCTTTAATCTATTTAAAAAATCTCATATTTATGTGCACAAAATCTTATTGCATTGTTTGTTTTGGTTTTTTTTTTCACATGGATTTTAAGAAATTTGTTATATTTAATCTTTTAAAAAGGCTAATTTGTATACAAAATGTTTTTTTTATATTGTTATTTTTTAGTGTGAACAGATATTTTTATATTTTGGATGGTGTGAACAAATATTTTAGTATTTTGGTTGGTGTAAACAGATTTAGAGAGATGAAAAGGTTAGGTAGCAGATAAGTTAATTAGTTTAATGGCTGGAGTTAATTAGCACCCATCTTTTCATCCATACCCACAATACTAGACTATTTCATTAACCAATTATCATCACCACAAGGTGAAACAACATACAATGGATAAGAGTTTTTAAAAGATTTATACTTCAAAATAATAAAAGAACAATGTATCAAAAGAATTGTATTGCATACAAAATATTATTGTAATACAATGATTGTAAGCGCATGTGGTATTTTGCAAACTCCATTTTCAAGAGAAAGACTTGTCCCTGAATCTATTCATTCGATTCGATATATGTTTGTTGAATAATGTCAGTGCACTTATAAAATTTGTAAAATCTCTTGTTGAGCTACTGAGAGACAGAGAGAAATGTAGAGAGAGAGAAATGGGGTTTAACGTCCACACGACACAAACTAGGTCATTTCGGGACTAACATATTTTTTAAATTTTATTTCAATAATTTGCTTGCGCTTAGGGGTCTTTAGCAGTGGGAGGAAACCGGAAAACCCGGAGAAAACCCACGAGGTTGGACAGACGACCCTAATCCTTGTCACGTACAACCGGGGATTCGAAACCACACCAGTCGTTCGGTCGTTCGTTTCTGACAGACTTTATGATACAGCACACACACGCTAACCATTCAGCCATCCAACCCCCCAGAGAGAAATGGGGTTTAACGTCCACTCGACACAAACTATTTCCATACAAACAGAATGAAGACAACCATCAAAAAGTACAGAAGTCAAAATTTAATTTCATATTGTAATATCAGTAATGAAGAATGGTTCAGTTATTTCATACCAAACAGATATTTTAATAAAAAGTACTGAACTCTTTTTTAAATAACTGATGGAAGTGGCTATATTGAGCAGTAATATTTTTATTGTTCCCTTAGTCAAAGTTTGGTATTAAGTTTAAGACTGGTTCAATAAATTCTTTGATCCAAATCCTCCTAAAACATATCTGGCCCAACAAATTATTTCAAGGAGTAGGTAATAATCTATTGTGTGTTAATCCCTAGTGTTTATTGACTTAACCTTATTAATCCCTGGATTATCTGCTAATGAACCCCCCTAGAGATCAGGAGATCATCAAAGTCTTCTTAACACCTCACCAGTAGGAGTAATTATAATGATATTATGAAAAGTTTTTGATGTTGTAATATTATACAC